GGGCAGCCAAACGACGCACGACCCGGACGGGAAACATGGCCTATTGTCTGATAGGCCTGTTTAACGTCAAGATGCCCTTGCTTTATGGTGAGGGTCAATGTGCTTTTATGCGCCTGCAAGAAGATACCATCAAACAGCAAACAATGAAGCTGAAGTCCACTTTTGGCCGATTGACCTGCAGCTGGCCCGAGGCTTTGTTTAGTATATCCAAGAAGGTGTACAGGCAATAGTCGAGACCGTCTACACGCGAAACCGCTCTTACCTCTCCTTGACAGTCTCCAATGTTTATGAAATGGATAGCGTTATGAGTTTACAATTTGCTGTTGAAGATCAGGGGACCGAGATCAGTACGACAGTAGCCAAGAACTCACTACCTGCAGCGTCATTAATCACTGTAGCCTCAAGAGCCACGATACCAGACACGTAGCAGTCAAGCCTTGAGGTTGATAGCACCGCATCCAACGCAGGAACAGGGGCCGCTTTCACCTTGTCCCGCCCTCTACCAGTTCGAACACGCCCTTGTACACAATCCAAGGCCAACCCGGAAACTTTTGAGCAAAGCCCTGATTATGAAACATTCTCCCAGATCCTTGTGGAAGTTATCAGTACGGGGGTCGTGATTGAAAACTCTGCCATCATCAGTCCGTTGGAAATTTACTTCTCCATGCTGTTACTTCATGCTGGTATAAAAGAGGTTGAACAAGCCGCGATACAACTAATGTATTGACCAGTCCGTTTACCAGTGTGCTTGCCGAGATCAAGACGTGCATACAGACACAATACCAAGATGAGCTCCCATCATGGCATGAAGTCTTCCCGTGACTTCAGAGTTCTTCATTGGGCCTCCGCACTGGAACAGCTCGCTATTGTCAAGTTGCTTATCGCTTATGGGGCAGATCCGAGCAGTACTATAGGGGTTGGACTGTCTGCCGTTCATTTGGCAGCGATCACTCCCCATTTCCAGATTTTGGAGCAGTTTCTTGACGTGCTTGAAGACAAACGGCCCGAGTGGTTTGAGGACGAACGGTGCGGTCAAGCAGAGTTGCCAGCCCATCTCATAGCTGCTCACATCATAGGACCCGAAACGGCTAGGATTTTGAGGCAGTTGTTCCCCGATCTGAAACCAGGAGCAAACCCCATCAGCAACGGTCTGGGAGACATGAGTCTACCAGAGTTGGAGATGCCCATTGCCAGGAGCCCTTATGATGTGGACGCTAAAGATCTAGATCATGTTATGCAAAAGGAGCTCACGCTGTCAATGAATGCGTTTCATGAGGCCGCACTCCACAGGGCTGCCGGAATGGACAACATTTATGCAGTCAAAGTGTTCTTGGACAACTAGGAATACCGTCCCCGACAACAGAATACAACCTGAACCCTGCTTGCTTTGCTGCACTGAGCGGCAACGAGAATATTCTTCAACTACTTAGCAAGCACTCATAGTCTACCTTGACAACGAACAAAAGTTCCTGTTCGCCTGCCAACAGCTGTCCCGTCAAGCCTCTGCCGCTCGCTCCCATTGAAACTGTGACCAAGTGGACTCGTACACTTTACTGCCGGTCCCAGCGATGAGGACCTGCCGTCGAAAGCCATGTGTCAAAAGCGAGCGAGCTGTTGTGACATAATTAGCCGAAAATGCAAGCGGATTGGCAGCGGATGCACCATCAGAGTCTGGGGAAAAGGCTGGGGAAGTCCCCATTTCCCGGCAGTCGATTTACCCCACCTTTCAGGGCAATAACAGAACAAGCACGCGCGTCACGTCGACGAGTAAGCAAATGAAAGAGGATGCGCCACTCCTACGTCTCATTCTCCTGGATTCGAATAAACAGAGAGCCGTGTGCCGATGGTGACAGGCTCAGGATTCAGCCGAGGAAGTTCAGGATAAAGAGACGATGGGCAAATGGAACCCAAGCAGGGTGAACAACAGGCTTGGGGGTTATGTTCCTGGGCACAAGTAAGATGTTACAAAGCCGATATGGGGACTTTCTGTATGCCCGAACACTGTATCCTGACCAAGCGGAACGTCCGAAGTATAGGGATGCTCATCACGAGGTTGGAGTGAAGGGTGTCCTGCTAATATAACCCCCAATTCCCTGGGTCCCTTCCCCGCCCAGTTAGATTGTTCAGGGGCAATCAGTGCAGCTATTGGACCAAGCCCACCTTCAGACCCAAGTGTTACTCGGCGTACCGGCTAATACAAACTTCTTTGAGCTTCATGCTCGACATGGGAATTCTCCGGATGTTAGATCTGGATCTACGGTCGAATGTGGGGAAGGGCGTATTGATTTCAGTGTATCATGGCCAAGGTTTGACTGCCAATTTAAGATCTTTGTCTGATAGGTTGGCGGGCCTGGGGAGGAGCTCAAATGTATGAGAAAGACTAGGTACAGAGGTAGTCCGGGGCTATAACGCTTAGAGCTACTAAAGGCCATGATTCCCGTGTGGCCTCTGTCAGGTTCTGAAACCTTTGATCTCTCAGATATCCACTTGTTGACTATTCGACGCTCTTGTCGAATACACTGCCATCATGCCTGTCAACTTCAGACTGGCGGTTACCGCAACGCTGGTCTCATTATGTGAGCAAACCTACCTACCTAGCTAGCATAGAATATTCAATATTGACCTACATCACAGGGCTCCCGTCGGGGTCTGCGCAGACGACATGTGGGACTGTCCCGTCAGATACGACCTACGATTATGTGATCGTAGGGTCTGGCGCGGGTGGAATTCCTATGGCTGATCGACTTAGCGAAGCGGGCCACAAGGTGCTTTTAATCGAAAAAGGACCACCATCCTCAGGTCGATGGGGTGGCACATTGAAGCCCGCATGGCTTCAAGGCACCAACTTGACACGGTTTGATGTTCCGGGGCTTTGCAATCAGGTATGAGACTATCTCCTCACCCTGAGCAGTCACACTCCGTTTTCCAGTCTGACTTGTACATACAACCTGCTAGATTTGGGCCGACCCCACTGGCGTGTCTTGTACTGACATAGACCAAATGGCTGGCTGCGTTCTCGGGGGCGGGACGGCGGTGAACGCCGGGCTGTGGTGGAAGCCGCACCCGGAGGATTGGGACACCAACTTCCCTGCTGGATGGCAAGCCAAGGATCTTGCGGCAGCCACCGACCGCGTGTTCTCGAGAATACCTGGGACCATCACCCCCTCGGTGGATGGCAAAAGATATCTATCGCAGGGATTTGATGTGCTGGGAGGCAGCCTTCAGGCGGCCGGGTGGGAGTACGTGGTGGCTAACGAGACTCCCGAGAAGAAGAACCGCACCATTGGACACAGCACCTTTATGTTTTCAGGTGGCGAGAGAGGCGGGCCTCTGGCTACCTATCTTGTGACAGCAAGTGGAAGGAACACGTTCACCCTGTGGACAAACACGATTGCGAAGCGGATCATTCGCACTGGCGGCCATGCCACCGGTGTCGAGGTTGAATGCAACCGCGGTGGACATGTTGGTGTTGTGAACCTGACACCAAATACTGGACGTGTCATCTCAGCGGCTGGAGCCTTTGGATCTGCCAAGCTGTTGTTCAGGAGTAAGCCCCCGTTTCTTGGCATTGGTTCACAGGTGGTGTTGTGTAAAGTATCGGCGTGCTAACCTGATCCTATCAAGGCGGCATTGGCCCAACGGACCAGCTGAATATCGTCAAGAACTCGGCAGATGGACCGACCATGATCGATTCAGAGCAATGGATTAACCTTCCGGTGGGCTACAACTTGAATGACCACGTTGGCACCGACATTGAAATCGCACATCCTGATGTCGTCTTTTACGACTACTATGCTGCTTGGCGCTCGCCCATTGCCAGTGATGCCGAGACGTATCTGGCCAACCGGACTGGCCCTTTTGCTCAAGCAGCTCCAAACATTGGCCCGATCGTACGTCAAAAGAGATCCTCGAGTCGAGTTGCTATCAGTATTGACAAGTAGTGCCACAGTTTTGGGAGGTCATCAAAGGTCGCGACGGTATTGACAGGCACCTGCACTGGCAGGCTCGAGTGGAGGGGCTCACCAACAGTAAGTCGCAATAAGTATCCATGAGAAAGTGTAAGCCGTGCTAACGGAACAGCCTCTATGACCGTCACCCAGTATCTTGGAACAGGGTCAACCTCTCGAGGGAGAATGACAATCACAAGGCAACTCAACACGGTCGTATCGACGCCTCCATATCTCAGAACCGAGCACGACAAGGAGGCAGTAGTTGAAGGTCTAATCAGCCTCCAAAAGTCACTGGCGAACGTGGCTGGCTTGACGTGGATCACACCGAGGGCGGGGGTCTCGGCAGAGCAGTTTGTAAACTCGGTACGTGTCATCTCAAAATTGTGGCCTAGAACTCTGACCTGCTGACATGGCAACAAAGATTCCTGCTATTCCAAGCCGCCGTGGTTCCAACCATTGGATAGGTACTGCCAAAATGGGAACTGATGATGGAAGATCAGGTGGGACCTCGGTGGTGGACTTGAACACCAAGGTGTATGGGACTGACAATATCTTTGTCGTCGACGCTTCCATTTTCCCCGGAATGATCACCGCCAACCCGTCCGCTGCGATTGTCATTGTCTCGGAGCATGCTGCCACCAAGATTCTTGCACTTCCTACCGCCTAGAAGACCTAAGCAGGTTTGTAAGTTTTCACCAGGGCGGCTGACAACAGTCATTATGGGCAAGAGGTAGGCTGCACCTATGTGGATCAAAGGGTAGTGGCCTCAACAAGAAAAACACACGCCGTGTGTCAAGCTATGGTATACACGAAAATCTGAAACTAAACATTTTGCTTTTTTCTGCGTCTGAAATGGCTGCTGGCTTAGATCCGTGACCATAAACACCATAGCGGGAGCCTGCAAAACGAAGATGTTGTAGTTTTGTTTGCGACGGTATCAGGGCCCTGATGTGGCACTTGACCACCACTTAAATAAGGTTATAAGCCATACTTTCTACGGCCTATATATTAACCAAAAGATGGAAAGAATAGTCATTATCGTCACTACTATAGTAAATGGCTTAATTGGAAGATCGCCAGTGTTCTTTTATCATTTAACTCCGCGTGCCTGGGTTCGAATCCCAGTTCACTAACACCACGATATCCCAATTACTTCCTACCGGGCCACCCTTCCACAGGTGACCCTGTGGGAAGACGACCTTTTGATGTTTTCCCAGGCCTGACCGGCCAATCACAGGCCAGTATTTTACTGGCCAGGTGCGGGCACCTGATGCCACACTTTTGAAGATGTTATAGTTTTGACAGGTTCCACATTAGGGCCCTGATGTGGCACTTGGATTCTGTACGCTCCCGCTTTGGCATGGTGCACCTTATGTGTAAGGTAGTAATCGATTCATGAGGCGGTTATGTACGTGACGGTAATCTTGATATATACAGTGAAGTTCCAAACATCTCTCTTCCCTCAAATCGAACGAGCCAGACTTTTCTTTTTGACAAGAATGTTCCATTGAGTTGCGGTTGACCTAGCGTTGTTATGGGGTCCGTGCATCAGGGGTAATCAGGGGCCTCCATCCAGTCCCAGTCCTTGCCGTTATCAGAGCCCTGATCAATACACGCCAACCAAGCCTGGTCTTGAAGGGCCAGAGATGTGAGATGCGTGCTCAGAAATTAGCACTGGAAGACGGGAGGGCCGGGGTTGCGGTAAGAGGTAGGAATGGGCCAGTTAATGTTGATCTGAATGCCGGGGTCGCTGGCGGAGTAGGCACCGGGGAAGGAAACCTTGTTGGGGGGCTCAGTGTTGCCACCGCCGGTAACTCCAATCTGGGCGCACGAGATGTAGAACTGGGCACCGCCGGGGCTCGAAGCGGAGTGCAAGGCGATGTGCTCGGCACGGAGCAAGTAGAAGCCGGAGCGGATGCAGCGCGGGATGGTGACGGGGAAAGAGCCCTTGTCTGTGAGACGGAGTTAGTGTCTAGAGCAACATAATTTTACGAGACAAAGCCCAACGTACTCAAACTGGGCCAGCCAAGCTGTTGGCCGAATGTGGGCTGCTCGTGGTAGATCTTGAACCAGACCGCACCGGATCCATCCCATCTGGTGACATCCTGTCCATCAGGCACGCGAGCCAAGTAGAATTGCATCGGCCTAAAGTATCACTCAGTCAGATACTTGCAGTCAGTTGAATCCAAGGGCAGGCAAACTCACCCAGGGTGGTAGGCGTTGGGGTTGACGTAGTAGGTCAACTGAGAGCCGGCGCTGACGTTGTAGGTCTGCGAAGCTCCAGCAACCGAGTTCTGGAAGCATCGGATCTGGTTAGAGTTTACACTGCCGACGAAACCGTTGTTCTGCCAGTCTGTTGGTAACACGATTAGCAAAACTGGACACGAAGCGGGTAGAGAATCGAGCACATACTGTCTGCGCGACGGACGTGCTGCCAATCAGCGCCATTGCCAACACGGGGCAGGGTGTAGTGGGCGGTGGCGCTGAGCGCGGTGGTGAGGACGAGGGCGAGGGAGGCCAACATTGTGAATGATGATGACAGCTGAATCGATATGGTGGTCGAAAGTGTGGCTGTCTCAGTGCATCTTGAAGACTTCGAACTGAGACGGTACAACTTTTATACACTGCTGCTATAGGCCGGGGTCATGCTGATATGGCTTGTCAACCCCAGATTGGGCTTGCTTCCGTGGTCCGGGGACAAGACCTAATCGGCTTGGCGGAGGCTTTTTCGTGCTCTCCATTCCCGGATTGTCTCCCGTGCTGGACCGTTGAAAGGCTTCGAGCAGCCGCGTACCGTCTTGTCCCGGCCGGTTAAATCGACGTTGCACCCCAACCGCGCCACTGACAAGGCAGTCCAGTATTGCATCAATCTACTTCAAGACGACGGCACTTGCCTGGGGCTCCACGACCTTCCTGCAACTGCAATCACGGGGCTTGAAAAGCGGTTGTGGGGTGCATGCATGGTGCAACCGAAGCGGAAGTCTCGCATCTAGAATCCGAATCCAACCTTGGGCCGCCCGGTGATGGGCTCTCGATCGTGTCTATTCCTGCCCAACGGTCTTCGAGCGCTTGCCATGACCGCAACGAACATGACATCATGGTGGATTGCTCTGTCGCTGGTAGAAACGGCCCTGGTATCCGGGATCGGGCGGTTCATAGCGAGTGCCAGCGATGAAGGGTGATCACGCCCCGAAGCGATGACTGTTTGGACCTTCGATGCTAGTGAGGCGTACTCGTCAACGCCGAACTGATGCGGAATCTTCAACTGCTTGAAGGACCACCCAAGGCTTTATAGACTGGATGTAAAACAGAGCACCAACATACACTACACTACCTCCCTGGTTTGTTTTTGTAGCGAGTACTTCCGATGGAGTTATAACCGGGGTTTTGGACTATTAGCAAATGCTGCTTTTAAGGCTTGAACTGGGACTTTTTCTCGCTTACTAGGGTCTTTCTGAATCCGTTATGACTTTTATATGGTGAGAGTTGGGATGATTGCTAGAGTACATCTGAAATATTCACAAATCATCAAGACTACTTCTAACTGGTACCTGCCACGATACGGGTTCAATTCATGTCTTAAGATGCCAACGCTGGCCGCTGCTTTGCTCAGCGTACAGTGCGTTGTAACTGATCACGATATGGGTCAAGGATTCCCAAGTGCCAGGGGCAGTTCGTTCCAGCTGGGACATGAATTACAATTCTGAAAATAACATGAAGATCATAACATGTAATACTACGCGGGTACTAAAACATCATACCATGCCTCGAAGCACAACATTTCATGCCTATTTTCAATTCTTTGACCAGGACGGGCGAGCTTCAATTGATGTGCTTGCAGCCAATATTCCTTACTCTGGCACACGAGATGGCCTGCTCTTTCATATCAAGAGCTGATAATACTTTGTTAGTAGTGGTCAGCTGAACAGAGTTTGCCTTTGGGTCTTTATCATTTGGTATTAGCGCGAAGAAGACACCAATCTTTTTGTACTCGAACCAGGCAGTGCTGTTTCTCATCACGACCTGCTGACTTGCATGTTCAATATATCACAGGCGTGAAACTCACCAGGAACTCGGTGATTTGCTGTTCAGCGATGGTTCATTTCCACCATGCCATTATTGACTTGGTTTGGTGTTAGCCTTCGGAGCTGAACGACTGAGCCGCACTCAACCCCTGTCCAGGAAAGGTACATGTAGGTAGGCAAACTTGCGAGACAGACATGAGGCAGGATATATATTACTAGAGTAAACAAAAGGATGCACCAGCTGGGTCTTATTCTTTCGTCTCGTATCCACCGCTCCTCTTTTTGCCGTGGCTGCAAACATGGCATGGACCACTTTTGTTGTGTTTTTGTCAACTCTCCCTGCCCTCTCGCTTGGGTTTGGTACATCGACCGGCACCTTCAACAACAACCGCGAACATGAAAGAATTACAAGGGCTGCCTTGGCTTGCCGAGGTGATGTAGTGTCTGGGGATTGCTTCTCGGACGACTCCATAGACCAGCTGGCAGGTGGTATTGGCAAGTTCGGAGCTGTTGGCAATCCGGATGACCCCTCAGCTTGGGGGACAAGCCTCGAGGGCCACGAAGCTCACTGCGATGGCGCCGACTTCTTCAACACGCCTGGCTACCCGCAAAGCCGTGCCGCAGCCAGTGCTGTCCTTCTGCAGTGCGTGAGTCACATCAAGGAGCGGCTCAATCAGGGCATCGCGGCTGCGGGTCTGATACTGGACGATAAGGGCTACATCAAACCGGACGAAGCCAAGATCCCGCTTGTGGGATGCGTCTACTTCAGGAGCAATCAAGCCAGCAATGCCAAATGCAGCGCCATCCTTGGCTTCGGCAGGGCATTGCACGGCATCCAAGACTTCTATTCTCACAGCAACTGGGCTGATGTCGCCAACGATTCGCTGCCAGTCTCTGTTCTCAACCCCCCAGGGTTGGGAAACTCGCGGCCGGCCGCCTTCTTCGACTCCCGCTTTTTTGGACCGCCAAGCTTCCCTCTGGATCTCACCACCGGCTGCTGGGAGCACGATGACGAGACACCTGGTGTTGGCGGATGTGTCAACCGCATCACACACAACTCGCTGAACAAGGACGGTGGTGACATTGACCCTGACTCGGGCGTGGCAACCAACCCAACACCTGAAAAGGGGCCCCGCGGAGCTGTCAACAACAATTTTGCGCGTGCCGTCGGTCTGGCCCTTGTGGACACACAGCGACAATGGCGCAACTTTCGAAACCGCCTTGTCGAAATCCACGGGGAAGAGAAAGGGGCTCGGATTGTCTGTGCTTTGACTCGCGATGACCCGGAGAAGGAATGCAACGGCCGCAAGGTTGCTATCGTGGTAGACAGCTCTGGATCAAACGACTGGACGGATCCCAACAACCTTCGCATCGCCGCCGCCAGGGCTATCAACGAAGAACTCATCAGCCAAGCAGAGGCCACCGATTCCAACACCAAGCCCGATCTGGTCACCGTTGTCGATTTTGATGAGCAGGCAAGAATAGTCTATCCCCTCGGGGACCCTGCGAGCGCTCACTTCACCGGCATTGACTCTTCCGGGGGCACCAACATCGCCGAGGGGATCCGTCTCGCTATCGATCAGATCACCGACGATGACCGCTACGACACCAGGGGCCGGTCTGGCATCATTGTTCTCACAGACGGGGACGATCCGTATTACGGAGACAGGTTGGCTCAGCTCGCCAGAGCGTACCTACTGGGCATCAAGGTTTCTTTTGGTTTCCTTTGGCCTGTCTCCATCCCCGTGACCAACCCCAAGATGAAGCGTGGTGTCGACAGACTTGGGCGTCGTCAGGCACAAACGTCAGAGATGCTGGCCGCCGTCCTCAAGACGGGCGGCTCCTATGCCACGATTGATTCGCCGGAAGCGCAACAGGCGTTTGTGGAGCTCTTGAAATCCAACGGATTCTCAGCGGCGGATGATGGCAGCAGTGTCACTCCTCTACAAAAGGGCCTCGGCATTGCCGGCCTCACCACCACCATCACCCCCACTGTCTATTACAGCTACAACTCCAAGGGCGGCGAGGACATCACTATTGACTTGCAGGCCCTCTCCTGCACCATCGATGCAGTTCTGCTTGATGTTGCAGCCGGCACCGTCGTCGGC